GCTCTCGAGCATCCCCGTACTTCTTGTCTTTCAGGTTCTGCAAAGTAGTCAGTAACGTCCCTCCACATGATGTTCACTTGGCGTACCTTGTGCGTATAGAATTGTGAGGGATCAACAGTTGATACCGCCTGAAGTTGCACAGTCTTCGACAAAAGAGGCTCGCTTCTCCACTTGATTTGAACGACTATAGCCAGGATTAGACCACAAGCTAAGCGAGCGAATAACCCAACGTCTGGACCCATTTGGACGTCCGGGAAACACATCAACATTGATGGATTTTCGAACCATTCCAGCGTGCTCTCCACATCTGAACATCTGCGTCCGATAACCGATGTGGCACCCATGCGACCTGGAAGGTGAAAACGATGGACGCTTGTCTTTTCACCATCCCGAACGACAGAGACGATTTCAGCGCCCTGTCTGGCCCATTCTGGGACAGATTCTCCAAAATCAAAAACGTCACATAGATTACGACCGTCGTCAAATGCAGACGTAAGGTAAAGTCCGACAAATTCTTCAAAATATTGGCCTCTGCCTCCCTCATGAAGGAGGCTTTTCTTGACGTGCTCTGCAAATGAAAAGTCACTAACGGTGCGGAACTCCTGCGCCGCAGCAAGTAGGACAAGAGGTTCGTCAACGATTGCCCATTCCCCCTTGCCATCGGGGAAACGAGCGAAGCCGTATTGGACGTGTTTTTCCTTGTTTTTCGTTAAAGATAGATGCCTCCGCTCTATCAGCCACGTATAAAGAACGTCACTGAAGAGCGAAAGTCGTTCAGGGTCTGACGAAAAGGGTGAGAACTAAATTAGAGGAGAACAAACTGCGAACATACCATTGAGAATCTTAGAGAAATCCAATGATAGCTTGGCCCCGGGAAGTAATGCAACATCCGCTCTCTCTTCATCAACGAAGGGCTGACCATCAGTTGGGCAAAACTTGCAGAACATCTTGACGTAGGCATTTAACGTCCTATGAGGTGACTGGAATGAGGACCCTAACAGTTGATCCACGAGTGACGCAGTAAAGCGATGCCTGAGGGAGGGCTCAGTATGAACAATCCTCGTACGGGTTTGTGATGGCGCACCTTCCGCGCACCCAATTCCAGGCTCGTCCAAGAAGTTCCCTCCCAGATTCTGACTCGGCGATGTGCTTGGGCATATAGCGCATAATATAATTGCCCTGACGCTCGCGGTCGTCAAACGCACCAGTATTCGTTGCATGGGTAAATCTGGAGTGCTTCATGACCGCCGAATGGGCAACATCGTTGACAATTTCGAAAGACAGGCCGGTCCCTGAGAGAATCACTGGGAATTCCGATGCAGCGGTACATGCGCTAACGATCGGTCTTAAAACCGGACGTTTGACAGATTTATCCCGTTCCGAGCGAAACGCCTCACCCAGCGCCCCCATTGCAATCTGCGCCTCGTCGAGTACGATGACGAAATCCCGGCTCAGGCCAAATTCGCCTTGTAACGCAAGGAGTTTTGAATGAACTCGAAGACCCCCTACTATCATCAAGTATTTATCGCTGGCGTCCGATAGCTCTTCAGATAATGCTGCAAAGACCTCCACTCCAAGAATATCGATAGAACGCAATTGAAGAAAGAGCCAGTGCTTCTTGAATTCGTTGATAGATTGAGCGGGGTGCGAGGCTTTAGCCTTTTTCAAGAAGTGTTCGAAGACGAGGATGCGTGCCACAAGGACCTGGTGCATGCGCCGTATCGCGATGGTATGATTACGACTGTATGCAACATCCCGGGAGTGTTCATCTTCGATCTTCTCGGGTTCCGCAATAAAGCCGGCAGAGCTGGGGATGTAGTGGATTATGGCATCCATGACATCAAGGGACCCGAGTGGATTGGTGACCCTTTGCACAGCATTCGTGAAATAGAATCCCCAGCCTCTACTCAGGCCTTCTAATAGTAGTCGAGTCTTGCCAGATCCCGAGGTATTGACAAGAAGGCTGAACGAAACAGGATATAAGGAAATTGAATAGCGAATGAGGCGAAATGGCTCATCGTGATTTGCGGTTGAACAACTCGTCGAGGACGCTTTGTTTGACGACACCATTCCCCAAGTCATGCAGAAGCAGAATGGGTTCTCGTGATATTTGAGGTATTTTGAGATCGTTGATGAAACGGTCGGTTTCAGGGTCGCCAGACGGAGGCGGTTCCCAGAAACTGTTCCAGGGAGGACCAGCGAGGTACTCTTCAAGCTTTGTGTCGCGTTGACTTAAGAAATTATCAACAAGGGCTTGTGTTTCGCTTTCGCTTTTACATGGCGTGGGCCGGGAGCTGGGGAAGATTGACCTGTCCTCCGGGGTGGTGGGCCCCTGAAGGATTCCTGATTATAGTTGAGTCGAATACAGTACCGACGGGTTGAGAACAAGGCGGTATCAACAATAAGGCAAATCGCACAACGGGGTTCGCGGTCAGCAAGTGACAGGGTCGAACGATAAGAGTCGGGCCATGGCGTGATTTGAATGTGTGGGATTAACGAGAGTAAGTAAGAGATCAGGAAAATGAGCGATCTTACGCGTACCAGTCGGACGGACGACAATGATCTGGACCTGTTTATCGACTGGGCCCTCTTCAAAGACATCCTTCAGTTTGTCGGACACATTCAATAGCTCTGCGCCCTCAACATCCTCTCCCTTTTTCTTTCCGCCGACCTTTTCCTTGAGTTTGTTGATTGGGATCCCAACTTTGAAGAGGTTGAGACGATGGGCGAAAAACGCATCGAGATCTGGTGCACTTGTCTTCTTAATCGCTTCCTTCAACGCATAAACGCTCCTGGTTCCCTCGACTTGGACTTCCAAGGGTTCGGGGGGATATTCTCCCAATATATGGCACCATAACAAGAGTTTAGCCATTGTGCGATGAGTGGGTAGGATGTGGTCTACATTAGGTCAGTAAATTCCCCTAAAGAATACATCAGCAATTGTGAAGTGGCTGTACAGCGCTGTCAACCAAGTAAAAAACTGATCTGACCCCGACTTGAACGGGAGACCTTCTGTGTGCACAATGGATGTTAGACAGATGCGATAACCAACTACGCCATCAGACCATGTGAACAAGAGCCTATAATTTACGCTATAGTGACGCGCAGCAGAAGGAATCAGGTCTCCCCTTCGAGCTTGGCCGAATCAAATGACACCAGAATCCACAAAAAAAACGACCACAGAATTTCTGTAGGAAACCGCCAAAGAAGATTTCATCATTGGATGCAGTGCCAAGAAAGCTCTCGACGTTAAGCGAAGTTTTTGCATCTCTCACTTTCAGACTGAATCAGACAAAGCCTTGCGTTATATGTACTCAACAACCAAACGCGTTCCAGGCCTTGAAGACTACCCAGATGGTGCATAAATGATGAGGACACGCTCACTTGTGACTGATCAAATTCCAAAAGTCTCCTGACAACAACTTGACAATATATATCTTGGAGGGCACACTGCTCCCCTAACGTTCTGGTCATGTGAAGTGATAGCATCAAGTTTCTGATCAGACTTTGCCCCAAATTATCCGAACAGAAGACTCTGCTAAAGAAATCATCTGGTTTGAGGGTCCGAAGGTCAACACTCAGAATTGCGGCCAGCGCTAAAGTATACTCGATCGCGACGGAGACGAACATTATATAGGCCTCCGCTACCTGACAGAGGCGTTCCGACGTCTCCTCAAGGCTCACAAGGAACCAGAAAGAAGCCGCGGATAAATTTGAACCACCAGACTTGCCATAAATAGACGACCCACTTTCAAATCATGCGATATCCTTGGTCTGGTGACCGTGATGACGAGCTTCAGACGCTTTCTATCCAACGCCTTCAAAGTCAGGCCAGTGCAACTCTCCTCTTTCCCTCAACGCCAGCTTCACACCACTTCGATCGCCAGAATGCCTCGTACCGCTGAGACAGCAAGTTTCAAGGTAAAATAAAACTATTCTCAAAGATGTTTCGCTCGGAGTTTATCAGTTGGGGCTGTAGTTCAACCACACGATGTTCCGTATCAAGGACCCGAAGGTGTCCTTGCCATTTTACACGGAAGTATGTCGCGCCATCGATTTTTTTTAGAGACGACGATTAACGGTCAACGATTTGTTCTTCAAGATCCTCGGCATGGACATCATCTCTGGCAAGCGTGTGTCGCCACGGATATACTAATTTTCTGACGTTTTCCTAGAGTCAAACATGGGTGACTTCACGCTGTACTTCCTCGGATTCGACCATGACGGAATTATGCAGTTAAGTGGAGAGGAGAGAAGCAAGGCTCGTTTCAATCGTGAAGGTGGGACGGTTCACCCGAGCCAACATGTGTCCCAACTAATCAATTTCATGGCGACTAGGAATCTTGGAGCTGACTCACAATCACGGTACCGAGTCCGATGCTAGCTTCCAGGGCTACTCCAGTGGGAATTCCGATCCCGGCAGAGGTTTCGGTCACATCGCTATCACTGTGGATAACATTGAGCAGGCTTGCGAGCGCCTTGAAAAACTCGGGGTTCCGTTCAAGAAGCGCCTCACTGATGGGAAAATGAAGCATATCGCGTTCATCCTTGATCCCGATGGGTGAGGCAATCGGATCGTCCTTTTATGTCTTTGGCTAAACCTCCTCATTATAGGTACTGGATCGAAATTGTTCCCGGAGCACTCAAGCTGTAATTTTTTTAGGAGCACTAAGAATTGGCGAAATACTATGGGTTGAAGTTGTACTAACAAGTGATTGTATACATATCTGAATTCAGAATCTTGGTGCCATTGTCCAGATAAGCTGGGGAGTGCAGTCTGTGGTAAAATATCGCTAAAACCCACTCCTCATGTCCGCGATTTTGTCCTCACAGCAGCTGTAGAATAGTTCTACGCGGAACATGATGATAATCCGAGGGGGTGGGTGAAAGTAACTTGCGTTCCTGTATCCTGCGTTCCTGTATCCTGGTGGTGTGCAGGTAGAAACGGTGTTATGACCTCACAAAGTTTGACGCCTATCGCCGCTCCTAGATGGTGCCTTTTGATCTTTTACGCTTGGAACAGGATTTATTGCTGCTGGGATTACCGATATAGTTACTCGGTCCTCCTCTATTCCGCCCCGTGAGGTCGGACGGCGTCCTGCGGCATGCCCTCGGAAATCTATATGTCCTGGGTTTAAACGATAAGGTCACTTTATAGGTCGGAAAAAAATGGGTGCGCATGTTGAGCTGTCTCGGAGAAATCTGAAGCATGTCGAAGTGCAGAAGACAGCTTGCCGCAAGGCGAACATTGACAGGTTAGAAAAGGATGGATATATAAAAATAATTAATGGAGATATCGTGAGAAATTCTTCGGAAACCAATACCTCGACTTGGAACTGCTAACCGGCAGGCCTCCGGACTCTGTCAGTGAACCTTGACATCGATCGGTGTTGGTGGTCTCCTCGAATAATGACTTTGCCTCTTACCATGTCTAAATGTCTGGTAAATGTATGTTTGTAAATCATCACGACTCGGTAACCAACGATAGTTGATCATATTTGGAGACCGCCCACCTCAACTGCAGGACATCCATTGGGGATATTTAGCATGGTGACAAGAAATATTGAGATGGACTCATGATGGTGAGCTTCATGATAGTAGAAACTCGTCAGGCAACGATATTTTTTTCCCTGTCTATATCATGATTGGTGTTAAAGCTCATTTCCAGCCAGATATCACAGTCCGGGGTGGCGGTGTTCTACTTTCATCTGATTCCGGGAGGTGCCACCACCATGACGCGAAATATCGCTTCGATAACTTTATACAGAGACTTCTTACCCATGAATATGCTCTAATTTATGGTCACCTGCTCGAGAGGAGCAGTCACGAGTTGACGTCCTGCTCTGTGAAACCATTTACGCGCTCCCGTATAAAATCCCTCTTGAGGGACTTGGTATGGTCACGGCGCACCATGTTGCGCTTACTCCTCAGGACATTAGTCTCTTCTTGTCTGCCACTCTTGGCACTGGGACAGACCTTCAGTCTATCAGATTTGCAATGGACTCTCAAGAATGAGAACGGTTCCATTGTGGTCCCGGGTTCTTTGCCTTCACAAGCACATCTCGACCTCTATAGAGCTGGTGTTATCAACAACCCCTTGCTCGGCATAAATGGTAAGGTCCATACATTCTTCTGGCTTTGACTTCATACTTATCTCTTGCAGAATATACGGAGAGATGGGTAATCAACGACAATTGGACGTATACAGCCGACCTCTCGCCCTTCACGCAAGACTATAAAAAAGACGCATCCGAGAAGACTCTATTGGTATTTTACGGCATCGACACAATAGCGAACATAGTAGGGGATATCTCTTACTGCGTGAATATCATTCTGATCTCCTCCAGACTTTCGCTGGCCATCCAGTAGCTTGGGTTAACAACCAATTCCGACAATATGTATATGATGTATCCGACTTTTTAGCATCTCCCGGAAGTGATAATAATTTGACCGTGACACTTGAATCCGCCTGGTATTATGGATTGAATGTTACGGAGATGCCCTATGCAGAATACTTCCCGGATACCGCAAACGTGACCACAGTCGATAATGTATGTGATTTGCCTTTCTTTTATGAACATTTTTTGAGATGGGAATAGTTCGAATACCCCAATGTCCGTCAATGGATTCGGAAAATTGACGACGATTTCGGTTGGGATTGGGTAGGTGCCCATAGGCGTTTTTTTGATAGTGATGCTCATGCATTATCAGGGTCCAGCTTTCGTTCCGAGTGGCATCTTTAAACCCGCTTATCTCGTGACACTCTCCGAATCTGCCTCTGAATCTGAGTCGTCCGCAACACCCGCACCTGGTGTTCCACCTTCCAGTAGCTCCATCTTCGTTGACGAAACTTCAATCGATATCTACAAGTATGGCCAGAATTCGTCTGCTGCACCCGATCAGACTGCAGATTGGGTTGTCAATGTAACCTTCGGCCTTCGCTCTGTGGCGTCATACGAGCATCCTGCCGTTACCTTGTCCATTCCCGAGCTCAAACTCACTTCCCAGCCTCTTCCTTTGGAGGCCATTCCAGCATCTGTCGATGAGGCAACATTTATGAGCGTTACCTGGACCGTCCCGGACAGCATTCCCGAACGATGGTATCCTTACGACCTCGGAACTCCAAAACTTTATAATCTCACCATATCTTTGGATCCATCGGGACAAGGCAAGAACAATGAGGTCATTTCTCAAACTATCACCACCGGTTTCCGCACGATCCAGCTTTTGCAAACACCATACTCGTCAGAAGAGGTTGCTGCGAGAGGTATCACCCCTGGTGATCAGTGGCATTTCGCTATCAATGGGAAGGCATTTTTCAGCAAAGGTACAAACATCATTCCATTCGACCCATTCTATCCTCGCATCAATCCTGACGCCGTCCGGTGGGTCCTTGAGAGTGCTGTCCTAAGTGGTCAGAATATGGTAAGTTGTGGTTCGCTCATTATATACAAACAAATGCATGATTCTACCCTGCCATCCAGCTCCGTGTCTGGGGTGGAGGTATCTATCAGCCTTCGGACGCTGCCACAGCGGGAGGCGTGTACGACTTCTACGCGCTTTGCGATGAATTGGGTATCATGGCTTGGTCCGAGCTCATATTCTCCGACTCACTCTATCCCATTAACGACTTCCTCCTCGAGTCTGTGGAGCCTGAAGTCAGGCAAAACGTTCGGAGAGTCAACAGACATCCCAGCAACGTACAATGGGCTGGTGGCAATGAGATTGAAGGCATGGTGATGTCGGTCAATACCTCTTTAGCCAATGGAACCCACTACTTGGATGAAGTACGAATATATTTTATATAACCAGATCATTCGCTGACATGACATCTGCAGTTTGTCTATCTTTTCCAAGATTATCTGCACGACATTGTCTTGTCAGAAACCAGATCAGTCAGTCGACATATTGTCAATCTTTCCTTCTTTCAACTCACGTGTTTTAGGTTCCGTACACCGACTGTTCGACTACCCACGGCGTTCTCAGCCTCGATCCCTATGTCCTCCGTTTTGCAAACGGCACTGAGGGTTATATTTATGGAAATACAGGTACATATTAAGACCTCT